TTTTTTTTTTTTTTTTATTCTCAATTTTCGAAGGAGCCGATGGAAGCAGTTTCAATAGCACTGTTGCTGATCAGCAGGTAATTTTGTGGGTGTTTGTTTGTTTGTGATTTTATTTCTCTTTCTGGAATGCAATGAAGGCTTCTAGTCTTCTAAAATTTTCCTTAAGGAGTTTATGAGCTCTTTTAAGGAGAGTTGGCAAACCAATTTTATGAGCCTATGAATGTTTTGATGACCTTTATAATCTCTGCCATACTTCCTCTTGCTCATAGTTATACCTATCTGTTTTCCTTAATTTGCTAGTTGTAAAGTGATTTTTTTTTTAATTATTATTCCCATGTTTTTTATTTCACCATCTGGCTTCTGAGAAGATTTTGTAAAAATTATTGTTCTTGTAATTGGAAGTATTCTTACATGCTTAAAGTTTATAATGCTGTGGCTGAAGTTCAGTTTTAAGGATATCTATTTTCCTAATCATTAGATTGTCTTAAATCTTGATCTCCTTCTGTTTCTCCTTGAAGTCTTAGATTGGATGTTCACTGTGTTATGAGGGCCTAGTTTGGCTTTTGTATGAGATCCGTAGCCTTAAGCTACTAGTTTGTTGTCGAATATGTTAGTTACTTACTTGCTAAAATAATATTCTGTCAAATGTGATAGGCGGAATTGGAGACTGTCGCTAAAATAACCCATGATAAGTCAAAGAAGAATGACACTAAAGTGGCCAAGTGAGGAATTAAGCTTGCATTTCAATCTCCCGTGTATGTGACATACATTCTTGTAACTTACAAATTGACTGAAATAATGTAACTTTGTGGTCTTACGTTCATTTACAAGTTCTACCAAATCTTTCCAACTTCAAGATGTTTTCTCCCTCGAGAATGAAGATTCTGAAGATGTGGAAACTCTGATTGATAAAAAGGTGACGCCTAATGTTTTTGTTTGATTAAGAAATCGTGTCTTATTCGATGCTCAAGAGTGCTCTTTCGATGAAGCTCTTCCTATTGCAATACTTTTTTTTTCAGGACAACGTGTTTGTGATGTCTAATAAGAAATCGAAGTATCCAGTCCTTCAAGTCGACTTTAGGTAATCCTTTCTCAATATTGTTCTTCAAGTACATTATGGTCAATATTTTTTTCGCCCTTTTACTCTTTTGGCAAAATTGTTTTGAGTTTGAGCATTTGTAATTTGTTTCTTGGTGAAAGCTTCATTTTAAATCAGCCAATCTTTGAATTGAATGAAAGACCATCTTTACTCTGCCTCCAACGTATGTCTCATTGCTTTCTATCTCTGCCTCCAATGTATTTTATTCCGCTATTAGAGATTCTAAGAGGATCTTTGTTTACCACATTGATAGTGCTCCAACCCTAGGCTGTATTCTGGTGAAATTGATAACATATACTGCAATGTTCAACTTTTGTAGGCTAATTTCAGACTTGGTGGTTGTTGTAGTCTCTGCTGCCACTGGTGGAATTATCTTTTCTTGTTTGGGACAACCGGTCTGTGCTTTTTCTGGTCGTTACTTGCTCTTCTTACAATTTTTGTTATTACATTCATATGGTTGGTGCTCTGAAGAGCTGAACCATGCTAATATTTTGGTATTTAATTTTAGGTCATTGTTGGCTATCTTCTGGCTGGATCTATTATTGGCCCTGGTGGTTTAAATTTTATCAGTGAGATGGTACAGGTATCTGGACCTCTCAGACTCTTTTCTCTTTCGACATACTACTGCATTTTCATACTTTTTCTGCTCTGAATACTCATTATTTTGATCCAAAAGTAAATGGACGGACTTGGTTCTTTATTAGCTTTTGTCTTTTGTTGCTTAGGATATTTGTAGAATCAACAATGCTTGTAGTATGAGTGGAGCGTTTTAATATTCTTAATATTACTTGTCTTGTATAATCATAGAATGTCACATACAGTTTTATTGTCTTTGATTACTTCTTTGCTGCGTCAGCTATTATTCCACTGTTTGGAATATCACACTTCTTGATTCTCAAGCATAAATTAAGCATTTTTCTCTTTATTCTGTGTCAAATCAATTTCTTCTTACCAAAAAATAACCTAGAGAATGAGATGCTGAATTGTCTGGTGACCTAGCAAATATTGAAATGACGAGGGATAACAAATGTATTGAGTAATGAACTCGTTTGTGCATTTTTTTCTCTTTTTCCATTCACATACAAAAATATACATGGTTATTGTTGTTCGCTTGAAATGTGTGTCATTGCATTCTTATTTTTAGTGGTCACATCTTACCTCTCTGGTTCGTACTAATAAGCTGTACTTGGCTTAAGTCGCTAAACCTGGTAAACGTTACTAACACACGAACTTTTTCATTCTTTGTTTTACCCTTTGTAGTTTCATTGTGCTTTTCATTAACATTTCAGGTGGAAACTGTCGCTCAGTTTGGTGTTGTCTTTCTTTTATTTGCCTTGGGACTGGAGTTCTCTTTGTCAAAGGTGTGATTTTTTATTGTCTTGTTCCTCCCATCATTAGCAGCTGCATTCTTCTATATTTTCTTGTGACTCTAAGCATAATATCTTAACTTCTGTAGCTTAAAGTTGTGGGGCCTGTTGCTGTTCTTGGTGGATTGCTTCAGATAATCATCCTTATATTTTTGTCAACTGTTACTGCATTGGTATAGTTTTTATGACCTTTTCATTGTCCTTTTTGTTTGAACATCCATGAGTTACAGTTGATGCTTACTTTTCTTCATCTGATTGCTGCAGTTCTGTGGAGCAGAGTTGTCAGAGGGTGTATTTGTCGGTTGTTTTATGTCAATGTCGTCAACTGCAGTGGTAGTTATTCATATTGTTATCACTTCTAAAACTTTGTTATCAGTAAATCACAAGATAGTACTGCAGAGGTTGCATCACTTTTTACCGTGATCTGCTGCCTTAAAGTGGCTTCACATGTAGGTGATATTGCCATTGAATGTCACTTGTTACTAAATTTTGACCAAACTCCTGACAGGTGGTGAAGTATCTTGTTGAGCGGAACAGAAATAATTCGGTTGATGGTCAAGTGACAATAGGGACACTTATTTTTCAGGTATTCTTGATTGCTTTTGCCAATAATTTGGCGAAATCAATTCATTTTACTCTCTTTGTACTTGAATGGCCTTCCAGGATTGTGCTGTGGGCTTGCTATTTGCTTTGCTTCCTATTCTTGGAGGTAACGGAATCTTGAACGGAATGGTCTCCATGGGTAAATTGTAGGTACAGTAAATTGCAGATTATATGGAACTCTTGAAACTTCCTACATTTACCTATCTGTTATTGTTGACCCCAGGCTAATCACTTTATGCATATATCTTACGGTGGCTTCTATGTTGACTTGGCTAGCTGTTCCTCGGTTTCTGAAGTTGATGATGCAGTTATCAGCCCAAGTTAGTCAAGTTACAATATTCTGTTAATAGCCTGTTTGATTTGCTATCATTTTTTTTTTTTCTTTTTTTTTGTTCTTTCGTTAAAAATTATCAATATTTCAACTGACATGCTTCAAAGTTTAAGTAGGTTTAACTAATATTTTTCTAAAATCATTAAAGCACGTTTAGAAGGTATGCCCAATACACCAAAAGGGTCACAAGCTATCGTGCTGTCGGTACTGCCGAGAAATAAGTTTGGTGATGATTTGGAGCCTTTAATTGACAAAGACTTCCAATGACAACATCCTTTCTGTATATGGTCACTAATGACAGTCTGAGTGAAGATATTAACTGGCGTTGGGAAGCAGCCGCTATTTACTTGTTCTTTATTCATTATGTGATTCTAATTTTACGTAGCTTACACATCTTTTAATTTTCGAACTGTCCCAATCTTACTGTACGACACTTGTGTGTGTGATATTTCTAGACAAATGAACTCTATCAACTTGCTGCTGTGGCTTTCTGCTTGATGTCTGCTTGGGTAAGACTGGATGGACCCTTGTTTTCGTGCTTTATAGACACACACACACACACACACACATATACATATACATATAAAATTTAGGTTCAACCTGGAATATCTCTACTGTTTAATACTCTTTTATAGTTCTGAATTGCAAAAGTAACAAAAAACTTGTTGGTGATATTGAACAAGACCAGTGGGCCAGTTTAGGAACACTTATTCATCAAATAGTTGATGATCAATTTTTTGGTAGATGCATGGTATTGTTTGGGTAGCAGAATGGGGCATTTAACTTCTGTCAAATGAATATTAATAAATGAGAAATTGCTACAGAAAATATTAAATGGAGTCATTTTTTGATATCAGGTGAAATCTTCTATTAAATGGTTTCAATTTTGTGTAAGTTCTGGACGTGTTTGGTTCAGCAGAACTGGGCATGTCCTATGGAGGATCCTAGAGTATCACCAAGAATTCTGAATAAATGTTGAGTGGAGTCAGATATTTTCTCCCTTCCATTCACTGATGTATCTTTAGATAGGGCACTTATAATAGCTTGACAAGTGAAACAACTGGTCTTATGCGTTGTCATTTTCCAGTGCAGCGATAAACTGGGCCTCAGTCTTGAATTGGGTTCTTTTGTGGCTGGGGTGATGATATCCACCACTGAATTTGCGAAGCATACCTTAGATCAGGTATCATTCAGCAACTCCATAAATTTATGATGATTCATGCCCATCTCTATTAGAAGTTAGATATTAACTTTCGCCATCACTGAATCCTTCTCACTGATCGGAGTACGCCAATTACCCATTGAATAGACAACTATTTTCTTCCATTAGTGTTTAGTGTGATGTAAGGTTTCAGGTTGTGTGCTCGGAATAATGACGTACACTGCTCCCCATTTGGAATTATGTTTTGTATAACTAAAGTAATGCCTACTTTATTTTATTGTTATGGGCTGAGGGCCTGTGATTAAAAATGGGCTATATGTTGATATGACAAGTCTTTGAGGGTTGATTTATCAGTTTGAACATTTTTACAGTGGAAATATCCACACAACTCCAATGTACTATGTTCTGATTATGAAAATTGAAACTTTGTATTGTGCATGAGTTTGGCATAGTAGGCCAATGTTCACCTCTAATGTTCTCAGCTCACTGTAAATAATATACTATAAAGGTTCTTAGATTTTTGTCAAATTATATGAGGGGCACATTAGATTACCGTTACTAAGCATAACGATCTTTGTAGGTGGAGCCGATTCGTAATTTTTTTGCTGCTCTTTTCCTTTCTAGCATCGGGATGCTCATACATGTACACTTCCTTTGGACACATGTGGATATATTGCTTGCCTCTGTTTTTCTGGTGGTGACTGTCAAGACAACAGTTTCTGCTATGATTACTAAGGCCTTTGGTTATAGTCTTAGAACGTCATTTGTCGTAAGTTTAAAGTTTATAGATTATTTATCTTCTTCTAAGATTATGGGTTCACTGTTTTAAGGATTCTTTTGCATCTCAGGTTGGAGTGTTGCTGGCGCAGATTGGAGAGTTTGCATTTGTTCTCTTAAGCCGCGCTTCAAACTTACATCTTATTGCGGTAATTTCCCTTTATTTTTTGTCAAATATATATCTTCATATATAACACAAATATTCCTTCTTAATTTCCATTTTGAAACTATTAAAACTGCTGTAATTTTGCCAGTTAATGCTCGAAATTCCTTTAAATTTTGTCTGGTTATGTTGTTAGTAGCATATGTTTTCTGAACCGTACATCTTTTTTTTGCTTCATCTTTTGCACAAGCAATCTGAAGTATCCAATAAGCACAGTTACTATCAAGAATTTTATTCATAGTCCATGCTAGAATACACGATGAGCGCTTCTTCACTTGTCTCACAATTAGAAATTGAAAAGATAACCAAATAAGACGAGCCTTGCGGTGATGGTTTTGGATTTTAATAATCAAGGAGAGGTTTGAGGCTAAATATATAGCTAGATATATAAGTTTGCGATGAAGCCATTACGATTTGTAAACAGTAAGTTTGTATTACAATATCTGGTTGCAGTCTTAGCTGGTTAGCTTAAATACTGTCGTAATAATGAATGTAATTCCTATTAGCCATCTCGTCCCTGATAAAATTAGCATGCTTAACCAACCACCTAATGTCGGTTAAGTCAATTTGCTCTAGAGACTTGCAAACATCTCACTGCATTTTAAGTTGGTACAATTTTTTAGTGAAACGCAAAGATGGTCAATATTTTTACCCATTTCTTGTTTCTGTGCCGTATTTGTCCCACTTTGCAGAGCAAGATTCTTACTAATATAAGTTGCTCAATTCTCTTGTATCCCTGAGTAGTCTTCTCGTATATTTCTCTGATTCTGAGAGTGTTGCCATTTTGAACTAAAGTTTTCACTTATTTTTTATTTATTTTTTTTTTTTCTGACAAAAGATTGTCGTCTAAACTTTGTAGGGGAAGATGTATCTTCTTCTTTTGGGAACAACAGCTCTGAGTCTTGTAAGTTTTTCTTCTATGTTATGACACCCTGCCAGAATTTCCACGTTAACTTTCTTAATGATCAAATCTCAATGATGCTTCAGGTGACGACTCCTGTCCTATTCAAGCTAATACCTGCTTTCATACGCTTGGGTGTTCTTATGCAATGGTTTCCTTCTCAAAGTATAACTAATAGTGAGGTATAATTTTGCCTTACTGATTTGCACAAATGCATCTACTGGCGTCTTACATCTACATTACATGCTTAATTCGGCTTTGCGTTATGGCATTTGATTATTGGAAGTACACTACAATCGGAGTTTAACCTAACCGGAAAAAGTAGTTATTTTTAAAAATTACAGAGACCCCTTGGACTGTTACACTCACCTTTTAGGTTTGTTTTTTACCCAATAAAAAACTCCTTGTTGAATTAGAAACAATCAAAGAGAGAAAATTCAGGGCATATTATCATTGCCAATATTACATGGAATAAGGCCTCTATTTTCATGTTCCATAAATATATGTATGTTATGCAGGAAAAAGTGTTGGTGGTTCAAAGTGGATGACTAGACTCCGGGTACGTTTTCAGTTCCTATTTTGTTGGTTGATAACAACATCAGGCTAGAGGTATAAATGTTTATTAGAAGAGCAGAAGGAAAAGATGGGTGTTTAGGACAGAGTGGGACTTCCAGAGTTGATTCAATTTACTTCCAGAATTTGATTCAATTTAGAGTCTGACATTTGTGTACATACATGACATTATATCTTATAGGTATTTGTAAATATTCACACGCTCAAATCTCATATGGATATTTGCCTAAAGCCTTTGCCTTTTTTGAACTTGTGTACGCTAAACCTGATTTAGGGCTGTTATTAATACACGATGAAGATTACATAAGTCGGCAGTCAAATGTTACTTTTCCCTTTTGTTGGTGCTTATCTTGCATCTTTGCATTAGTTCTTCTGATCTTTGTCATTCATTGCAAAGAGCTGTAAAAACTGCACTATGTGATTAGAGTTTAGCTTTAGGTGATTGCATTTGAAGTTCTTTTATCGAATCAAGATCTCTACAAACTTCTAACAATGCAACTTATTTATACTTTTTTGTTGGTAACATATTGTTACCTAGCCGGTTTGCTTATTTCAGTTGCACAAATATTTATTCAATTCCATTATGTATCTTGTGGAGGTACTTATTAGTGTTGGGCGTGTGTACACGTGTCTACCGAAGAATGACAAAGAACAACATGAAAGGAGAATGATGACGAAACGACTCGATCAAAACACAAACACGATCCTCGAACAAACTCGAACAAGGAATTCAAATAATAAACAAATTAATCGTAATATGAAATTGCTACCAATTAATTCCCACGGTTTGTTGCATGAAATTGCTACCAATTGATTCCCACAGTTTTCAACACACCTGCAAGATGACATTTACCTTGTGTATAGTGGTACTTGAAACACACATGATTTAGGTGAACTTACTAGTGTTTAGAACTCTCAAGAAATGGAAAACTAATAATGATCACAAATTGAATATGAGCTATATCAATTTCTTGTCTTTTATGTTAGGTTCTCTAGTGTTATATGCATTTCAAATTATATGGGTAATTATTGATATTTTGGACATCTTAAGGGGTTCATGACAACAAAAGACACCTTTAGGGGCGTCTCCGGTCGTCCAAAGTTGTGTAAAAACCTTGTCGACATGAGCAGACTGACTTGTGTGCTCGTCACGCCCGCGACGACTCGTTGCACCCAACGGGTGAGTTGATCTGGGCGTCGCGCCCGCGACGGGAGCTGGCGTTCGCCTGCTCTCCAGGAGCCCGTATACGCTTGTGCAGACTCAGAATCGTGTTCTTTTTTTTTCTTTGTCGTTCCCAACAAATAATTCTCTAGTCCTATCGTGCATGCAATATGATTTTGGCTCATTTGGAATTCCAAACATTCGCCAAAGATAGAACGATCGCGAATCCAATTTTGAGTAACATAAACTCAAATTTCTCCATATTTTAACTTTAGAATTAATTTCTCATTCACCCTTAAATGGTGTTAAGATTTTATTTTAAATCTTCCACTTATGAAAAGTAGAACCGTAAAATGAGTACAAATATTTTACTATCCC